TATAAATAATGCTAATTAGTGTTAATTATAATGCATTTTATCTAATTATTAATAATTATAATTATGATCAAATCTGGAAATCAATATAATTGTTATAATCATGACTTATTGGGCCTTTATGGTAGTCTATTCTAATAGGATTATCACAACTATTAAGTGGCCTCATATTATGAAGTGTACACAAAGGTACAGGGATTATCCTTGGTCATCCACTTCTAGTGGACATACTCATCACTGGTTGAGCATCATAGGACATTGCATGGATGGCTAATGTGGGCTTACATATGTGTACTTATAGGGCATAGAGCCCCTTGCCCTCCTTGTTGGAAGGAGGCAAGCACAGGAGCAAAAGTAGTCATTCTTGAAGAGTAATAACTTAGAGAATACCTATGGTATACATATATAGAATTCTCATGCCCTTTCCCAAAATAGTATAAAAGGCCCATAGAACAGGCTAAGGATCTTTATTCTGTTTTCTTCATTTAGCACTATCTCCCTATAGTGCTATCTTGCTCCACAATAGTCTTTACACTATTGTATTCTTGCAATAACATCAGCTCCTATGCTACATGTGCAGTCAAGACCACCATTCCACTCTTTCTTATTAAAAAACCTAGGAAAGAACCTCCTACTCTTGGGGTTACTGGACAAGCAGTTTGTAATACTAGAATGGACTCTTTTGCCCTTACCTTGCTCAAATTCTAGCTTGCTGCTACACTCTCCTTCCCAACCTTACTTAGTGGGGAATAGACCTCTATTAAAAAAGTGTTACTGCATATACTCTAGAGCAAGACCTAGGCTGGAACTACCCTTTTGGCACTATAAACATAAATGATCAGTTCCATCACAACAATCACTCTATTTGACAAGAAGGGAACCTTTGGTTCTATATAGACACCAATACAAATATTCCACCCAATTATGATAACTGCTTGCATAGGAATGGGCATTACTACTTCACCTACCCAGATAGAACAGAGAAAGAGTTTCTTTGGAATAAAACAGAGAACTATTGGTATCTACTACCCCAATATAGAGATCTAGCACCGGTAATCCCTGACAAATTGGAGCAAGAGGAATCTACCTCTTATTCAGACTCTAACTTATTACCTAACTAAATACCAATTAATACCTGAAACCAACCACTTGCCGACATGTTAGAACAAGCATTAGCTTTTACAAACACCCCTTCCATGAATATACAACCTGGAAGAGAAAAAGTCAAACTCCTAGATAATTATATGGATGACCATATTAAATCCCAGAAATTCATAGATACAAGACTAATTAGGACAAAATATCCCTTGTGCTCTTATAAATAAGGTATGGCATGGCAGGGGCTTGGGCAGAAAACTTCCTTCTCAAAACAGTAGGAGCAATACCCCTTATAGATTTAGGGACCTAAACAAACTTCTTGACTAAATTCAAGTTATAGTTCAGGAAAACTAGCAAAACTAACAAGGCATGAAGTGTACTCATAGTCTCTTCCCAAGGAAAGATGATGGTTAACAAGTACTCCAACCAATTCATTCTAATTGCTACCAATACTGACATCTCCAAAAAGGAGCAGGTCTCTTACTTCCAATGTGGCCTAGACCCATATGTCATGGACAAAATATATAACAAAGAAGCTCATCTAGAAGACAACATTCAAAGTTGGATTAATATAGCATGTGAAATAGATAGATGGCTTAGAGCAAGAAGTGCTCAAAAAGCCATCCTCACAAACTTCACCTCCTTTCAAAGCAATTTCCTGAACTGCTTTTACCTCCAACCTGTACTCTACTATAACTCCACAAATGCCCCTTACAGAATGAACAACCAAGTCATGGATATGGATATTGATGCTATATGAAAGCAAAACACACTAAGCTAGAAGCAAAAATATGAAGACAAGCTGACTACCTCTTGTTTTAATTATAGAAAGCCAAGGCATTATAGTGCTAACTGCCGAATCCTATACAAAGGTGTTCAACCAATTTGAGGAAACTCAAAGAGATTTATGGGAAAGACAGGGAGAAGAAACTACACTAATATGCTAAAAGCATCTCTAAGTGCCGAGCACAACACTAAAACAACCTCTAAAGCAGGGGGTACTAGAGCTAGTATCTAATATACAAGGAATCATTAGTGATAGCTTTGGAAATTGAAGATGCACTGAGAAGCAATAAAGAGTGTGAGATTATAGTGCCCAAACAGTTTTGGGACTGTGCCAAACACCAACCAATCATTTGGTCAGTCATGCCAGGGATTTGGTTGGTAAACAAGAAGGTAGTGTTGTGACTAATAACTATATGATTCAAGAGCCACATAGGACTCTAACAATATACAAAGGAGGATAATGTGTATGAGCAACGAGATGAGTATGAATACAAACAAGACTGAACAATGAGGATGCCAGGTTTCTAGGAGTTGACAAGGATGATTGCGATGGTTGAGACAAGTACAAATGAGCTCTGAACTGTGGGGTGCGAAAGCTGCTTTATTCTAGAGTTTTATTTAAATTTTTATAGTAAACAGAGCCCTAAGTAAAATATTAAACAAGAAATGAGAGTAAATGTTGAATGGGCACCAAGCCCTAGTAAACAGAGAAGATAAAAAGGTAGATAAGATATCCATATGGGTTCCAAAGATGATAAGGTAAAAGTTAATCAGCAATAGCAAAATCCTGAACATTTGGAATCTGTTGCCTGAGCATAGGTAGTAGGAATGGGTGTTGGAGAACCAATAAACATAAAGAAGAAGTAACATATGACCAGGATGGTCAAGTAATGGTGCAAGATTGTGTTTGACCAACCATGTGGAAGTCAGGAAGATAAGTGATAAGGACCGACAACTTATAAAGCATATTGGCTAACACAGAATACTAGCTCTAATCTTATAAACACCTATCATAACACTCTTATGTAGTTATGGTAAGTATATGAAATATGGGTGAACTGACCCAAGTGCTGCCAAATGTCCTTTAGTGCAGTAGTGGCACATTGTATTGCCTAATGGACAACAAGAGAATAGAGGCATTAGTCATACTGCTTGAATTAGAGTAGTCCTTAGTGAACCAGGGAAAGAGAAACAAAAGAGCATTATAATAGGATTTGCAGAGTGTTTTGCCTGACCTTTCTCTTGCTAGCAAAGGTGAAAGGTTAAGCAAGGCCTAAGTTTGAAACAACAAAATATATTTGTATTGAATAAATAGTTGCATCATCACTCCCATCTGCCTAAATGTACAGGTTTCAAACTAGACTCATTATGCTAGAGCAAAGGCAACTATCAACTTAATATGTAAAAAGATCATAGTAAATGAAGTGTGGGTCAGGAAACACAGATTCCCCACATATTTGCTCAACCACCCCATTTGTATCTGCAACATCAATGATACCATCAACAAGGCAGGTCTTATCTAATATATATTGGATATATATAAACCTCAAAATTTAGGATATATATGGATAAATGCATACTGAATATGTTCAAATGTTTATTTCCAATCTAAAGAAAGATAACCTTATCCTAGGAACAGATTGACTAAAATACCACAATCCCTTTATCAAGTAGAGGAGACATGAAGTGCACTTTTTTTGGTGCCCCCAGAATTGCCACCAACCACATGGGTTTACTAAGGCAAGAAAAGAACTACTATAGAATAGTTGGTTAATAGTCAATAGCAAACCATATTATAAACCACAGATTAACAAGCATGAAGAATAGTATAACAAACACCTTCGAAGAATATCAGAGGATATAGGTCTTCATGACCACAGCAGAATGTTTGGCATTTGACTAGCAGCTTACCTTAGAAGGAAATGGCTCATACAAGACATAAAAAAATATGCAGAGGAGAAAAAACAATACACTCAAACAAATCCCAAGCCATCTTCTTCACCAAACGTATAAGAAAAATCTCTTACAACCACTTTCTTAAGCATTGTTGCTAATAAGGAATCTATCATCTAGAAGTTAGCCCCAAAACCCTCCTTCTATTAACCCAGGAACTCTTGGACATGATTAAGGGGGGCATAATATTCAGCAAACTGGACATATAGTGGGGATACAACAAAATATGTGTCAAGAAAGGAGATGAGTAGAAGGCTGCCTTCATAATCCCTTTGGGATTATACAAACTGACAGTAATGTTCTTTGGCCTTACCAACTATCCTGCAACCTTCTAAGCCATGATAAACATGATTTTCCAAGAACTCATCATAGCTCAAAAAATAACTGTATATATGAACAACATTCTTATCTTTTCCAAATCAATGGCAGAACATGTTCTTGTTCTAAATCAAGTTTTCCAAATCCTACACAACAACAATCTTTACCTAAAACCAGAGAAATGTGAGTTTTACAAAGAAAAACTAAACTATATTGGTTACATGATCTTTAAAGGCCATGTCATCATGGAAGACTCCAAAATTGATGCTATAAAGAATTGGCCTATCCTATGCATAGTCTGTGACATCTGCTCTTTCTTAGGCCTAGGGAATTTTTATAGATGATTTATTGACAAGTTTTCACTTATCACTCATTCCCTATATAACCTTACCAAGAAATATGAAAAATACAACTAGACTAACAAATGCTAAGAAGCTTTCAAATGCCTAAAAAAAGCCATTATCAATTAACCTGTCCTAAATTACCTAGACCCAATGTACCTCTACAGACTTGTGACAGACACATCACTGATTGCCTATAGAGCCACACTCTTATAAGAAGGCATGGACAGTAACTGGCACCTAGTAGCATACCTCTCTGGCTTGTTCTCACTGGCAGAACAAAATTATAACATCTATGACTGTGAACTACTCACTATTATCAAAGCCCTGGAATACTGGAATTACTACCTTGAAGGGTCTCAATATCCCTTCAAGATCTAAATAGACCACAAAAACCTAGAACATTTTCAATTGGCCCATGATTTATCATGAAGACATGCCCACTGAAGCCTTTACTTGAGCAGATTTGACTTTATACTTAGCTACAAAGCTATATCAACCAACCACTCAGATACTTGTTGAGCGCAGTGACAAAGAAGCGGCTGGCACAGAGAGAGTGCCAAAAAGAAGCTCTATAATGACAGGACTGTGGTCCAGAGGGTAAGAGTCTAAGTAGATACAAAGAACAGAGGGGAGCGCACCTGTGGTCCAGAGGGTAAGAGTCTGAGGAAAGAATCGCCCTCGGACCACGGGTATTCAAGCTACATAGAACAATAAGAAACGAAATAGGAAGGTATGACATCAACGGGTCATTACAGGTGAAACATCTTACAAAGCGGTCAAAAGCTCCACCTGGAGCTCAGTCCGGAGTGTCAATGACATCACACAGGACTGCCTCAGCCAGCTAACCCGGTGAAACAACTGAAAACAAGGTGAGACAAGGTGAAAACAAAGTGAGACAGTCCAAATGGAGAAAGAATGCAATATACCCGCTCTGGGACCAGCTGTAGGGCCGCTCCCAGCGGTAGAGGCGAGTAATCAATGAGTCCCAAAGGTGGCACCCATGTGGCATGGATGCTACACCAACCAGAACGGCCACAAACAACAGTCACCGCTATGAACTGCTGCTCATTGCCTGCTTCACCAAAGATGGCAATATGATTATCTTGCCAGACCATTTCGGAAAGAACAATAGTTGTAAACTCATAGTCAACATCTAGCTTTCTTTCAATCACATCCACTAAAACCCCATTTTCCAACCAAATCCCATCTTTCCTAGGAAGGACATAGACTTCCATTGATACTCCTCCAGCCAAAGCAGGTGGCAGTCAAATTCCATCTTCAGCAGAAGGGATTGATATCATGGGTGGCTCATTCAAAGGTGATGGAGCTAGAAGAGTATTGAAGGTGACATTAATGCGGTATGTGGGCTTGTAGGGGATGGTTATAAAAGAGCAAGATGGTGGGAAGACAAAGGATACGTTAAGCAAGTCAGGTCATGGACCCAATGGGACAATTAGTGAATGGAAGTCTAGTGGTGGCTGTCAAAGCTCTGTGTGGCAATAAAGATAGAACAATAATCAAGGGAATGTGCTCCAAAGTGATGAGCGTGCAGAGGTGTTGTTAGACATGATGTGAGGGAGTGATCCACAGATGTGATTACCAGCAGTTCTTGAATCATCTTGTTTCTCAATTTCCCGTTTTTTTCTAATATTCCATATGTTGGCCTAGACTTGCATAGTTATTTCTTTCTATAGAACATTCTTGAAAATTATCCTGCCAAGGCACAAACTTGTTTGTGTCATGACAATGGGCCTTCTCATAATAGTTTATTAAGGGCTATGTCCATTAAGGTATCATGCTCTAAACATGATTGTCAAATAAGGAAGATGAGGTCTGAAGATATGATTTCCATGGATTTCACATATATTGTTTGGGATGATTCTGTCCCAATTTTGCTTGGCTTGTTAAAAAGTTTGGCTGGAAGTAAGATTTGAGCTTTATTGTCAGATTCCATCCCCTCACTTAGATCTGGATACCTAGACAGAGCATCTGAGTAATGGGTTGATCTTGCTTTATAACTGAGAGTAAAATTAAATCTACTCAAATAAAGGCTCCAACAGACATGTCTTCATGATTGATCATGGGCCATTTGGAAATGTTCCGAGTTTTTATGGTCTGTCTAGATCTCAAAGGGATATCGAGCTCCTTTGAGGTAATGATTCCAGTGTTCCAAAGCTTTCACAATGGCTAATAATTTGTGGTCATGGATGCAATAGTTTTATTCTGCTGGAGGAAATGAACCAGAAAAATGCCACTGGGTGCTAGTCATCATCCTTGCCTTTTTGTAGGAGTGTGGCTCTGTAGGTAATCAATGATGCATCTATCATAAGTCTGTAAGAGCATATGGGATCTGAGTAATTTAGAATGGGTTGGCTGATAAAGGCTTTTTTTAGTCATTTGAAAGCTTTTTGGCATTTGTTGATCTAATTCTATTTCTTATCCTTCTTAGTGAGATCATGTAAGGAGTGAGAAATGAGTAAGAACTTGTCAATGAATCACTTGTAAAGATTTTCTAGACTAAAGAAGGAGTGAATATCTCAAACCATGTGTAGAACTGGCCAGTCTTTTATTACATCTACTTTAGAGTTTTTCATGGCGATGTGGTCCTTAAAAATTATATAACCTAGGTAGTTGAGTTTTTCCTTGTAAAACTTGCACTTTTCTAGTTTTAGATAGAGATCATTGTTGTGTAAGATTTGGACGACTTGGTTTAGGATGTGGATATGTTCTGCCATTGACTTGGAAAAGATGAGGATATTGTCTATGTATATAGTTATCTTGCAGTCCATGATGAGTTCTTGGCAAATCTTGTTCATCATGGCCTAGAAGGTTACTAGGGAGTTGGTTAGGCTGAAGAATATTACTGTTGGTTTATATAATCCTAGAGAGGTGATGAATGTGGCTTTCTACTCATCTTCTTCCTTGACACATATGTTATTGTACCCCCATCGTATATCCAGTTTGCTTACATCCAATAGTTCTTGGATTAATAGGAGAGGGCAAATATTCAGGATGATATGCAAATTGTGTTGTTTGTGGCCGTTCTGGTTAATGTGGCATCTATGCCACATGGGTGCCACCTTTGGGACTCATTGATTACTCGCCTCTACAGCTGGGAGCGGCCCTACAGCCGTTCCCACAGCGGGTATATTGCTTTCTTTCTCCATTTGGACTGTCTCACTTTGTTTTCACCTTGTCTCACCTTGTTTTCAGTTGTTTCACCGGGTTAGCTGGCTGAGGCAGTCCTGTGTGATGTCATTGACACTCCGGACTGAGCTCCAGGTGGAGCTTTTGACCGCTTTGTAAGATGTTTCACCTGTAATGACCCGTTGATGTCATACCTTCCTATTTCGTTTCTTATTGTTCTATGTAGCTTGAATACCCGTGGTCCGAGGGCGATTCTTTCCTCAGACTCTTACCCTCTGGACCACAGGTGCGCTCCCCTCTGTTCTTTGTATCTACTTAGACTCTTACCCTCTGGACCACAGTCCTGTCATTATAGAGCTTCTTTTTGGCACTCTCTCTGTGCCAGCCGCTTCTTTGTCACTGCGCTCAACAGGTTATGGGCCCCGCGCTCTAGCGACTTTGCTCTACATCGTTTTATCCACACTTTCTGGTCTCCCATCTGCTGTGCCACTCCTTTCTGGCCACACCCCATTGCTGCCACATCTTCCCCATTGCTTTCCCTGCCTTTACCATCGTCCCACATTGCTTCCAACACCTTTCCCTCCTTGTGCCACTCGTGCCACACCATGTCTGACCCCTCATTCGCTCTCCCTTCTGTCTCCCCTCTCAATAATCGCAACTATCCTTCCTGGTCCAAGGAGATCAAGGCCTGGCTTCGTCTCAAAGGCCTGTGGCTTCTGGTCTCTGGTGATGAGACAGCCCCTGTTGGTACGAAGGAGAAGCCTGCTGACCCAAGGGAGGTGGCAGAGTGGAAGAGGAATGGTCAGAAGGCTGCTGGTGCGCTCTTACTTTCAGTTGAGGAGCAGTTCAGAGGCGTCTTGGATGGCATTGAGGATGACCCCATTGCCATTTGGACCAAACTGGAGGAGCAGTTCAACAAGAAGTCTGCTGGATCGCGTTTCAACGCGATGGAAGACCTCTTTTCGATCAAGAAGCGCAATGATGAGTCCCTCCAGTCCCTCATTCATCGTGTGGACGAGTCTATGCGCGTCCTGAAGAACCTCCGCGACTCTGGCTTCGATCTCAAGAAGCAGGACGAGGAGCTCACTTGCATGGCCCTCTTGTGGTCTCTCCCCTCCGAGTTTGACACCTTCCGCTCCTCCCTCAGTCTCATGGACGTCTTGTCTCGTTCCAAGCTCGAGGACGCGTTCAGGCGCGAGGATTTGAACCGTGCGCGTCGTTCGGATTCCACAGACTCTGCACAGGCCCTTGTGGCATCCTTTCCTTCATCTCCCTCCTCTTCCTCCACCTCCTACAGACGTTCTAGGCCACCCAGGAAGCAGTACAAGTGCGACTTCTGTGGTGCCACTGGCCACACTGATGACAGGTGCTTCAAGAGGATCAATGAGGAGCTGAAGAAGTCCAAGCCACAGCAGGCCCACTCGGTTCAGGCCCCTGAAGCCTCTGGTCCCATGCAGTTTGCAGGCAATGCAAGTTTTCGTTCCCCTGCTCCATCCCCTTCATCCACAGCCCCCTCACTCGTCACTGACCTCGATTGGAATGCGGACACAGGTGCGACCTCTCATATGACACCCCATCGCCACTGGCTTCGCAACTATCGTCCCTTCGTCGTCCCCATTCGTCTTGCAGACTCGTCTGTCATCTATTCTGCTGGTGTTGGGACTGTGGTGTTCAATCCGGTCATTGGAGGCAAGAGGGCGCAGTCTGTGGAGTTCTCAAACGTCCTGCATGTCCCTGATCTCGGTTGTAATCTCCTGTCTGTGCTGTATTTGACTCAGCACAAGCACTTCTCTGTGCTAATAGAAGGATCTTTGATGCATTTCTCCCGGGATGGTGCAGTGTGGTTCATGGCGATCGTTCCTGATGGTTCCAACAACGCATATCTTCAAGGGACCACATCCACCGTTGTTTTGCAGTCTGCTGGTGCCGCTTCTACTCTCCCTCTTGACTTATCCCTGTGGCATCGTCGTCTCTGCCACCACCACCATGCTGGAGTGCAGAAGATGGTGAAGGAACGTCTCGTTACTGGTCTACAGCTCGATTCGGACGTGCAGCCTGACCCTGTGTGTGAGCCCTGTCTCTCTGGCAAGATGCACGCTCACCCCTTCCCCTCCACTGGCTCTGTGACCTCCAAACCGCTTCAACTCGTCCACTCTGATCTCCATGGTCCTCTCCCTGTTGCCACTCACTCTGGAATGCGCTACTGGATCACCTTCATTGATGAGTTCACCAAGCTCAAAGTGGTCTATGTCCTGCGCTTGAAGAGCGACGCGTTTGAGGCTTTCAAGCGCTACAAGGCCTATGTGGAGAACCTGACTGGACAGCGCATTTTGGCTCTGCAGGATGACAAGGGAGGAGAGTACATGTCCAATGCCTGGGACTCGTTTTGTTTGGAGCATGGGATCGCTAGGAGGCACACGGCACGCAATCGGCTACAGCAGAACGGCGTAGCAGAGCGTGCCAATCGCACCATCATGGAGGCCCTCACTGCTATGCTCTCTGAATCGCATTTGCCACTTGCTTTCTGGGGCGAGGCTCTGGCCGCTTATGTGCACGTCTGGAATCGACTCTGGACGTCTACCCTGAAGGGCAAGACACCATTTGAGATGGTCCATGGGAAGAAGCCGGACGTTTCGCACTTGCGGGTCTGGGGCTGCTTGGCTTATGTGCATGTGCAGAGAGACAAAAGGGATGGATTTGGATCGCATATGGAGAAGTGCGTGTTTATTGGGTATCCTGAGGGCTACAAGGCGTGGAAGTTCTACAATCCTGCGACTCGGAAGGTCATCATTTCGGAAAGGGCAGACTTTGATGAGCGATTCTTCCTGGCACTCGCCACTTTGATGCTAACACCCAGTCTGCCACCCCCCCTCCTTCGTCTCTGTTCAGTCTTTGGGATGCAGATGCGGATCCGGTGCCGGTTCTGGGCAGGGAAGCAGATGCTCCTCCTCCTGCTGGTCATCTCGAAGATGCTCCCATCGATCAGGATCATCCTGTGGCAGACCCAGCACCTCCTCCACCTCTTGCTCCTGTCGGTGTCCCTCCTGATGCTCCCCCTCCTGTCATTCCAGCGCCACCTCCTGCTCTC